AGTAAATTTCATAATCGATATATCGAAAGATAATCGAAAAACCGGATGTAGTATTTTGATAGTATTAGTAACCGCTTACCAATCATTATTTTATTGTATTTAAAACGGAAAAAATTTATTTTTTTATAATTATTATGGGAAAAAAGAACTTTTGAACAATCAAATTTAAGGTACGTCATATTTATTTTATTATTATTATTATTATTACGTAGTAGTGTGACTCATAAAAACGATTCTTTTATAAAATTTCCCTCGATTTTAAAATTTATTTATTATGCAAAGAAAGATTTGGATAATTATACACAAATTTTACTACTTTTTATATTAAATATTCTTCTTACATGTAAATTAGGAGTTGGAAATTTAATTTAATTGATGGATGGACATTATATATTAATGATTTAATGAAAAAATAATTTCGATTAAAAAAATATTTTAATATTTAACAGTTTTATTAATTGACAGAATAAAAATATTGCCATTACACACTATTTTGCAATATATATTTAAATATATATATATACATTATTTATTATCATCCCCTTAATCTAAAAAAAAAAAACATTTTGTGTAAAAAAAAACATGCATGGTATGCCTTAATCCCTTTTATTATTATTATTATTATTATTATTATTATTATTATTATTAATTTTCAAATTAATTTTATTTAATTTAAAAAAAATGAAGCTTTGCCACTATATGAAACACATACTGTCACATTAAATTTAGAATTTTTAATAATGAACAAAAAATTATTATTATTATTATTATTATTATTATTATTATTGCAAATCGTAGACGCATTATTTGACTAGATCAAACTACTATTTATTTTCCGTTACAAATTAAAAAAAATAATAATAATTTTGAATAAAAAAAAAAAGTACATACAATAGGTGTGATAATGGTATATATATATATATATATATATATATATATATATATATATATATATATAGATAGTACTTTTAAGTGGCTCCAATGCATATGCATATATATATAATTATTATTATCAACATAATCATAACATAGAAATAGTTTAACAAATAATAATAATAATAAAAAAAACTAAATTCTACAAACAATTACAAATAAAAAAAAAAGTAAACATAAAAAATAATTAAATAAATTTATCAAATATTTTTTTTAAAATCTGAATCTGAATCTGAAGAGAAAAAAAAAATTAAAACAATAATTATTTAACCGCTAAATAATTTATAATAATAATAATAATAGTAATATTATTAATACCGAAATTTAATAATTAATTAATTAATTAGTTTTTTTTTTTGTTTAATAAAATATATTTTCACAATTATTTATAATAATAATAATAATAAACAAATTTTTTAAACTTTTTAATCTAAAATAATAAAACTAAAAAAAATTAATAATAATAATAATAATCTGAAAATTAAAATGCCACCAAATTGATATTATTATTATTATTATTATTATTATTGGTCAAAATACATTTAAATTTGTATACTAAAAAAAAATAGGATATGTAATATTTTATAAAAATAAATATTTTTTTATAAAAAAATAATAATAATTTACATTTTTAATAATAATTTTTTTTAAAAATACATATATATTATAAATAATAATAATAATAATATAATGTTACACTCATTTTTTTATTAAAAATAATAATAATATCATTATCATACATTTAAAAATTTTTTAAAAATTAATTTTTCAGAAATTATTATTATTATTATTAAAAAATACCACATTTTTTTTTTTTTTTTTTTTTTTTACAAACTTAAAAAAAAAATTATTATTATTATTATTTATCCCAATAAAAATATAAAATATTTAAATTAAAAAAAAAAAAAATAAAACAATTTTTAGTTAAAATTCATTTCCACGTGCATAAATCAAAATAATTGAAATTAAAATTTTAAATTGCACTTTATCATTACACGTCATTTCATATTGATAATAATAATAATAATAAAAATATGTCAACAAAATTTCATCATTAAAAACAAAATTAATATAATTAAAAAACTTATTAAATAATAACAATTTAGTAATAATAATAATAATAATAATAATATATCATCGGATTTAAAATAGAAAAAAACAAATAAAAAACAATTGTTTAAAATATAATTAATCAATTAATGAAAAACCAGACTTGTTTTTTTTTTTTTTTAATAAAATTTTTTATGGCACCCATTATTTATTAACATTTGATATGATTTGTTCTTCATCTTTAAAAAAAAAAAAAAAAAACATTTATTTATTATAATAAATTTAATAATTTAGTAAAATATATATTTAATAACCATGACCGTATAAAAAGAAATCATCGTCATTTCTTTTTTTAATTCACAAAAATATATAAATATATGGCCAAATTTATTTATTGGCTATTAATTACTATTATTATTATTATTATCAAGCTAAATATATAATATATATATATATTATTAATAAAAAAAAAAAAATTTCAACATGTATAAAATATAATTTCATTTTTTTTTTTTTTTTTAACTTTTTATATTATTATATTAAAATTAAATGATTGGCCATTTATCATATTATGGCTTTTATATTAAATTTTAATTGTAGTATAAAAAAATTAAAAAAAAATTACAAAACAATTTTGTTGTTCATTAGTGCTAAAAAAAAAAAAATTATAATTTAATTGCAATTAAATTTTAACCGTTAAAAAATTTTCTTTTTTCAATTTTTTTTTTTTTTTTTCTGTTATCACAATATTGAATCCAAATAATTAATAACAATTTTTAATTTATTTATTTATTTAATTTTGTAATGCACACTACGTACGAAGCTCATTTCATTCATTATATTAATAATAATAATGATAATAAACGCTTTTATAATTGTATAACTAAATATAAAAATTAATTTTAATTCTTACAATCTAATATAAAATCATATATATATAAACAATTTCATAAAAAAAAATATTTAAAATAAAAAAAAAAAAAAAATTTACTTATGAAATTTGTCTGTCTTTTTCATAACTTTTTTTTTTTTTTTTAAACAAAATTATTTTATTTATTATTATTATTATTATTATTTTATTACAAATCGTTGCTTTTGCCATTTTCATTTTATAAAAAATTCATTATTATTAAAAAATTTTATCAATTGAGCAACATTTTAATTAATTTTTGTACAAATTTAATTTAATTTAATTTAAAAAATTGTTTAATTTATTTCAACTTGTAGGAAATACTCATTTAATGTTAATAAGTATTTAATTCGTTAAATAATAATAATAATAATAATAATAAATTTCATATCTTTTTAAATGTTTAAATTTATTTAAATGTGAACTTCTTGTTGCATCTATGAATTTAAATCTTCTTTTTCTTTTTTTTTTTTTAGGTTTTTTAGGTTTTTAAAAACAATTAAAATAATATAAAAATGGTCGAATGAATTTTTTGTTTAAAAAAATGTCACGATGATAAGTTGCACATAAACTGAGGACCCTTGAACGTAAATTTTCGTCTCTGTTAAAATTTTTCAAAGGATTTCAAAAATCATTCTGTAGAAGCAGCCAAGGGTTGAAGTTGTGGACGACCACGTGACATTCTTAAGGCTGGATCTATATATATATATAAAAAAAGTAAAGTATCATTATTTATTTTGAGATAAATCATAAGATACACTAAAAATTCTTATGTGTATATATATACACAATACAACATGTCTTTTGGAAAAACAATAAAATATTATCAGACAAAACACAAAATTAAATGAGGTCATTGACCCTCGTTATCTCAATTATCTGGTGACCAATGCTTAAACGTTATATTAATTTAAAGGTCTTTTTTTTTCAACTTATATTTCACAACATGCTACAAGATACCAAAAAAAAAATACAATTTCAAACAGTTGATTGAACTGTCTTTTTTTTTTTTTTTCCTTGTCCTTGATTCTCTAATAAATTATATTATATTAAAAAAAGGAAAAACAAATTATTTTTAAATTACTTGTAAATTAATTACAAGCTAAATACATTTATTTAATTAATTAATTTTTTTTTTTTTTTTCGGTTAATAATAATT